TCCCACAACCACAGCTGAGGTCAGAGTTCAAGCTCTTATGCATGACCTCTCACTTAGCTTATTGCAATAGCAATGTGCTGGCCTCCTTGCTTCAAGTCTCTCTCCATTCTTGTCCACTCTACACACTGATCGTCCTTGGATGAGAACATCACCGTCCTCATTCACTGTATCATTCCCCTATCCAGTAAACACTAGTGGCTTTCATCGCCCCTTAGGATAAAATGTACACTCATCTGTTTAGCTTCTAAGGCCCTTCTTGCCCTTATATGTCTTTCCAGTCTCATTGGAAATTTCTCTTCTCCTCTCCCCAAATTCCATAATCCAAACAAACTGGCCTTCTGTCTCATCTTCACACACAACATTCCAATCTCCCATTCCTGAGCGCTTGCACTGGCCATCCCTGAGATGTACATCTTAACCTCCACCTTTGAGAATCACTCTCTTTTTCAAGATGCAGTTTAAGCATCAGCTACTACATGAACCCTTCCTCATACTCCCTTCCCTCAAGTGCTAGTACCCTCCCTCCCTCCCCAAATTATCTTTGAATTGATTACTTTGTATTTGATTGTATTTATTCTCTTTAGATGCATTATTTGTATACGAACATGTATGTATGAATGTTATGTGTTATATATGCATACATATGCATGTATATGTGGCTATATGTATATCACAAGTATGTATTTGTGTGTGTGTATCTGTGCATATACATGTATTGCATATATATATGTATGTATATGTGAATTGTATGTGTATATGTACGTATTTTTATGTGTGTGCATATAATATGTACTTGTATCCTCCCTTAGAATGTAAATTCATTATGAATAGGGATTATTTCATTGTTTCATTCACTGTACTTTTATCACCAAGGTAGGCCTGTCACATAGTGGGCACTGGGTAAAAGCTTGTTGGTTGATTGATTGATTGGATCAGGGGAATGGTCTCCAGTGGAATGCTCCAAGCACCTGCCTGTGGCCTATGCTAGGCATTTCTTTAATGACTTGGATAGGTATAGATGATATGATTATCAAATTTGCAGGTAACAAATTTTGGAGGAGTAATTAACAAGCCAGATGACAGAATCAGGATCCGCAAAGATCCTGACATGTTAAGACAAAAGGATGAATTCAATATGGAGCCCCACATGGGTTAAAAGCAACAAGGACAATATCATGAGGAGAAGAGGGGGGGAGTCACGACCAGCAAATGGGTCAATCACGTGGGAAAAAATCTGGGGGTTTTAGTAAAGTCATTATGAATCAGTAGTATGTATGACATGGCTGACCACACAGCTATCATGTCCTAGGGTATGTTAAGACATGGAAGAGACCTGGGAGGTCCTTTCACAGTATTCAAAACCACAGAACTGGTAGTTCCACAGTACTTTTCCTTGAATCTAATTTGTGGGTACGGCATTTTAAGAAGCATTGATAAGCTGGAGTGGGTCAAAAATAGGCTGCTCAGGATGGTGAAGAGATGGTAAACAAGGCCATACATGGACCAAACACAGGGAATGAGCATGTTTAGTCTGCAAAAGAGAAAGCTTGGTGGGCAGATGGGGTGGGGAAGACATAAAGCACTACTTTTAAGAATTTGAGGCAATGTAAAAGAGTGACTGGGCTTGCTCTGCTTGGCCCCAAAGGCAGCAATGGGTATAAACTTCAGAAAAAAGAAATCAAAGCTGGATGAACAGAAAAAATGTCCTATCAATGAATGCCTCCCAGAAGGGGAATGGATTATCTGAGAAGTTCTTGGCTGCTTCTAACTAGAGGCTGCATGAGTGCTGGTGAGTCAGGTATGTTGGGGAAGATCTGCCTTGTGGAGAGGTCTTCAGGGCAGGACTAGATTGCCTCCGAGGTCCTTCCAGATCTTACTTTCTGGGGAGTTCTTGGAGCATATTATCTGGTAGTATTATATAATCTCCTTCTGGGGAGTCTCAAAAATTCAATAAAAGGAATATTTTATTGACTATAACTGAGGTGCTTGGAGTTTGAGAGGTAGATTTGATGGCTACTACATCTAAGTCCTATCCTTTTCCAATCATGGGTTTCATTGACCTTGGACCCTTCATTGTGTTTGTGACTATGAATACTCCCTGTCCAGTATCGGGACTGAGAATAAAGGTGCCGTACAGGCAATGTAATGTTGGGGAAATTATGCTGGGTTTAGAATCAAAAAGACTGGGGCACTAGCTTGCCATGTGACTGGGCAAATCACAAACCCTTTCTGTGTTTTGGTTGTAGCATCTGTTAAATAAAGTGTTTGTTCCATCCCTTCTAGCCCTAACATCCTGTGACTCATTCTATCATCTGCAAGGTCCATTAAAGACATGCATGCCTCGAGGAAGCATTAGGTGAGGACAGGTTAGCACTGTCAGCCTCCCTGAGCTATTTCATTGTCTCTTTTCCAGGGATGGGCAGGGAAACCAGGAATGCCTTTGAACTGCTATTGAAAGGAGGGTTAGCATCCTTCTGTGCCTTTCATCTTCCTAGACAGATCTGAGCTGGCTGGGCCCAGGCATTGCTGAGGGTTTAGCCCTCCCTAGAGGGTTGGAGCCTGCCTTGGGTGTAGTGTCCTGGAATGAGGGAGGGCTGGGGGTGGGAGGGGGAATCAGGGTGGGGACAGAAGGGTAGTGGGTAGAGAAGAAAGAGAAGTGGAAGGAGAAGAAAGAGGAAAGGGTAAGGGGAGGACAGAGGAGGCAAGAGGGAAGGAAAGGGGGGAGCCAGGTGACCTATTCCAGGCTGAAAGGCAGGAGATATCATCCATAGCCCTCACTGCTGTGACCCTGGATGAGTGAGCTGCACAGGACCATGGCCCTGGAGCAAGAAGGGACTTTGGAGGCTCTAATTTTTCAGATTTTGTTAAATGGCTTTAAAATAATGATGCTAAGAGTTGCATCAGCCTTCTGTGGGTTTTGTTTCATGAATGTGACCTGCCATTGTTACCATCCTTGCCTAAGGTGGAGCCCAGGCCTGATCAGATATCCACATCCCTGGTGCTCACCCCCAGGAAATCCACCTCCCCCTCCCCCTCCAGCATCTCTCTGGGGATGCCTGGCAGAGACACTTCTTCTTCCTCTTTTTTTTTTTTTTGGAAAAAAAATTTTTTCAGACACTTCTTAAGGAGAATAATGTTCTCCTTTGCCACCTGGGTGGAAGTCACAGTCACACTTCCTTTGTCAGGGAGGCACTAATGTGAGAAGTGCCTCAAAGCTGATGTTAAAACACCTTAGAGTCAGTCTCTGTGCATCTCCAAAGAAAACTGAATTTGGTGGCCTTGGGTCTCTCTCCCTTCTTTCTCATCTGGAAAAGGAGAAATGAGCTCTTGCTCATCTCCTCAGTACTGCTCCTTTGGCAAACACTGGGCTGTCTGCCCCATTCCTGAGCCAGAGGGCTCCCATTGCCTTAGTGAACTCACACTTCCCCAAGGATCCCCAAGGTGTAGGCTGGGCGTGGTCTTTAGGTCTTTTTAAGTGTGTTTACATGCTTCCTTTTCCCCTTCCTGTGAACTTGGGAAGGGATAGTGTATGAAACTAGAATGGAATTAGACCGAGGACCTGGGGAAGAATTCAGTCTTGGGAAGGTTTTCCTTATATCAGGTGGAAATGTCTCTCTACAGCTTCTACTTTGCTCCTGATTCTGTCCTCTGGGCCCAAGCAGAATCTGTCTAATCTCTGATTCTTTTAAATACAGGATTTAGCCCTCGTGAGATTTCTTTAAATATAGGAAGATGGCTCTCATCTGTCCCCCAAATTATCTGTGTAACAGACTAGGGCCCAAGATACCTCCCAGCTCTGACCTTCTGTGTTCTAAGGCCCCTTCCAGCTCTGACATTCTGTGTTTTAAGGTCCCTTTCAGCTCTGACATTCTGTGTTCTAAGGTCCCTCCCAGCTCTGACATTTTACGTTCTAAGGTCCCTCCCAGCTCTGACATTATATGTTCTAAGGTCCCTTCCAGCTCTGACGTTCTGTGTTGTAAGGTCCCTCCCAGTTCTGACCTTCTGTGTTCTAAGGTGCCTTCCAGCTCTGACATTCTATGTTCTAAGGTCCCTTCTAGCTCCGACCTTCTGTGTTCTAAAGGCCCTTCTAGCTCTAGCATTTGCTGCTGATAATCCCAGAGCACAACAGAACATAATAAACACATCAGAGAGGTATATGATGCTTAAGAGGGCAAGAGGAAAGATCATGGCACACAAGGGCTACCAGGAAAGGCTCCATGGAGGAGGTAACATTTGTACTGGGCCTTGAAGGGTAGATAGAATTTCAGAAAGGCAGATTTCAAAGAATGGACACAGAACCATAGAATTTGAGGGTAGAAGGAACCTCACCATCCAACCAGCACAACTTACTTGTGAAGGAAATCCCTACTGTCACATACCCTACTGGTAGTGGTCCAGTCTGTCCTTGAAGAAATCTGAGGAAGGGACCCATTTCATCTTGGGACAGCATTTATTATTCTTTTTTATATCAGGCCTAAATTGTCTTCCTCCAGTTCTTCCCTCTAGCACCAAACCAAACAAGCTAACCCCTCCTACACATGTTAGCCCTTCAAATACTGGAAAACAGCTGTCATGTTCCCCCTCTCCTCTAGTTTCCTTTTCTCCAGGCTAAACATCCCCAGTTCCTTCAGCTGAATCTCAAGGCTCTTCATCATTCTGCTTGCCCTCCTCTGGACACTCTCCAACTGAGCAATGTCCTATTCATTCATTTATTCATTTGTTCATTTATTTTGTTTGCTCATTTGCTCATTTATCTTTTCACTCATTTATCCATTTATTTACTCATTCATTCATTCATTTATTTTTGTTCATTCATTTATTTGTCCCCTTATTTTGCTTGCTCATTTATTTTTTCACTCATTTATCCATTTATTTACTCATTCATTCAATCTTTTTGTTTGTTTATCTTTTTTTTTTTTCATTTATAGGCTAGGTCTCTGTCTCCTTTAAGCCGGAGGCATAACTACCACTTGTGGGCCCAATCAGCATGGGACCTTTGACCTGCTCTGTTTCTGACCTGGGTCGATTTGCCCCTCCTCAGGCAGACTGGTGACCCCCCACTCACGGGGCTCACCATATTGGTGCCACAGTTAGCATGGGCACTAAAGTAATTTAGTCTCCTGCAGTTCAGAGCTCCTGAGTTCAGCCTTCCCAAGAGAGGGGATTACAGGCCTGGCAACGTCCTTCTTAGTAGGAATTCTTTGTGCAACATAGCAGAGATTAGCTGGCATATAATTATGTGTCAGATAAGTATCTGGGAGGATTAAAAGTGGGGTCTTGGTGCCAGGACTAGGACAGGGATCTTGGGTGTGCCAAATCTTTGCTGCATTGATGCCACGTTCCAGCAGGCTTTGCCCTCACTTATTCAGACTGACCTCAGTCTTGGATAGATTGTACCCCCTAGCCTGGTCAGAAGAAAGCCCATGGTGGGGCTTCCGAAGACCCCCTTCTTCCCATCTATATGTGGCAGGACATGGGAAGCCACTGAGTGGGCAGCTGCTGCTGCTTCCCATCTGAACCCTGGGGGAGTATTCTCCCAGAGAAGGAAATACCAGCAACAATAAAGAGGAGCTTTGCTGCTCCCAGAAACGAAAAGCAGAAATGCTCTCATCAAAGCCAGTGCGGTGCATCAGATGCCATCAGACAAGACAATGATGTTTAATCTTCCCTAAAAAGACCGGCAATGGAGTGACAAGAACAAGATGGCCTTCAGCTCTGTCCATAGAATCTAGGCGGAGCCAGAGTGGAGATGGGCCAGGAAGCCTCCAAGGTCTGGCAGTAATCATAGCTGTCATTGCTCCACAAGGGTCGGAATCCATTCCCTCTGAAAAACAAGCAAAGACACTTTCCAACTGTCCAAAGTCTTGGTGGGGGCGGGGCTGGGGGGAGAATCAAAATCAAACCAAATGCCTACTTCTCTTCCTAATATCCCATGTTGTTAAAGGTCACCTTGCCTAATCAGGGCTGGAGTAAGGAAACTGTAATTGAGTTGTAGGCACAGCAGATAGTCTGTGTTGATGTCTGTTTGGGAAGAGGCTGACCCAAAGCTGAGAAAGCCTGGGTAGGTGATTCCTAAGGGAGGGAAGGGGGGGCAAATGGAAGGTTTGAAATCCCAGTATGGTAATGCTAGGATCTGTTGTGGCAGAAAGCAATAAAGAAAGAGCTATCTGGGCCATGCCAGGTGGGGAGCTGAGCAAGGGGCTTTGTCATTGTAGGACCTGATTTCAAATCTGGGCTCTCCTCTTCCTGCTACCCCTTTGCACCCTTCCTATGATTGGCGAGTCCTTCCTGAAACCTCCATTGTAAGGAAAATGTCCAGGTTCACCATGTTCCCACCATGATTCTTCTCTGGACTCCACTCCTGACTTTCTGGATTTCTTTCTCCGCCATGCTCTTCTTATGGGTACCTTTGCCCCTTTCCTCTTTCAGCTTCCTTTCATGTATTCTTCCTTTAGAATGTAAGCCTCCTGACGCCTTAACATACTTCACCTACTCAGTAAGAATAACAAAAACAAGCCAGATCTCAAGACTGATGTTGGTACTCATTAGGATGTCTGAGACCAAACTAAAGCTTGGGTGCTCAGACACTAAGACTGCTTTTAAGGTACAGAAACATCCATTTGTGCACTTTTTTTTTTTCTGCAGAGGACTTTGCTCTGGCTTTATTTGCTTTATTTTTGATCTTGATAATAGATGAGAACTCATGTAAAAGAGCTTTCAGAGATGAAAAAATGGTTTAAATAAATGGTGTTGCTACTATTAAAAGTCTCAACCACAGTATTTTTTCCCTTATATTTGTATCCTCAGTACTTTGCACAGTGCCTGGCATGTAGTAGGCATTTGATAAATGCTTGGGGACTTGAATTTTACCTTGGGACAGCTTTAATTATTCTTCTTTTCTTAACCTTGAGCTACCTCCTGAAACTGAACAGAGAGACTTTAGAGTGAAGGGGTTAAGAGATAAAAAGCTTTGGTCTTAACTGTGGTGAGGGATGGAGAGAAACCAATAAGGGAGGTTGGTAACTCTGAGAATCCCACCGTAGGAGGGAAGATATGCTATGAATATTTTTGTACATGTGGGTCCTTTTCCCATTGGTTTGATCTCTTTGGGATATAGCCCTAGAAGTGCTATTGCTGGATCAAAGGGTATGCATATTTTTGTAGCCCTTTGGGCATAGTTCCAAATTGTTCTCCAAAATGGTTGGATCATTTCACAACTCCACCAACAATGTATTAGCGTTCCAATTTTCCCACATCCTCTCCAACATTTATCATTTTCCAGTTTTGTCATGTTGGCCAATCTGATAGGTGTGATGTGGTACCTCAGAGTTGTTTTGATTTGCATTTCTCTGATCAATAATGATTTAGAGCATTTTTTTCATATGACTATAGATGGCTTTAATTTCTTCATCTGAGAACAGCCTGTTCATATCCTTTGACCATTTATTAATTGGGGAATGGCTTGCGTTCTTATAAATTTGTCTTAATTCTCTATATATTTTAGAAATGAGGCCTTTATCAGAAAGACTGGTTGTAAAAATTCTTTCCCAATTTTCTACCTTCCTTCTAATCTTAGTTGCATTGGCTTTGTTTGTGCAAAAACTTTTCAATTTAATGTAATCAAAATTATCCATTTTGCTTTTCATAATGTTCTCTATCTCCTGTTTGGTCATGAATTCTTCTGTTCTCCATAGATCTGATAGGTAAACTATTCCTTGTTCTCCCAGTTTACTTATGGTATCAGCCTTTATATCTAAGTCTGAACCCATTTTGACTTTATTTTGGTATATGGTGTGAGATTTGGGTCTATGCCTAGTTTCTGCCATACTCTTTTCCAGTTTTCCCAGCAGTTTTTTTCAAAGAGTGGGTTCTTATCCCAGAAGCTGGGGTCTTTGGGTTTATCAAATAATAGATTACTATAGTCATTGACTACTGTGTCTTGCATATTTAACCTATTCCACTGATCCACCTCCCTATTTCTTAGCCAGTACCAAGCAGTTTTGATGATTGCTGCTTTATAATACAATTTAAGATCTGGAATTGCTAGGCCACCTTCCCCTGCATTTCTTTTCATTAGTTCCTTTGATATTCTGGACCTTTTGTTTTTCCAAATGAATCTTGTTATTATTTTTTCTAACTCTATAAAATAATTTTTGGTAGTTTGATTGGTATGGCACTGAATAAGTAAATTAGCTTAGGTAGGATTGTCATTTTTATTATATTAGCTCGGCCTACCCATGAGCAACTGATGTTTTTCCAATTATTTAGATCTGATTTTATTTGTGTGAAAAGTGTTTTGTAATTGTGTTCATAGAGTTCCTGGGTTCTTTTGGGAGGTAGACTCCTAAATATTTTATAATGTCTACAGTAAGTTTAAATGGGATTTCTCTTTCTATCTCTTGCTGTTGGGCTTTGTTGGTAATATATAGAAATGCTGATGATTTATGTGGGTTTATTTTATAGCCTGCAACTTTGCTAAAGTTGTTTATTATTTCAAGTAGTTTTTTACTTGATTCTCTAGGATTCTCTAAGTATATCATCATGTCATCTGCAAAGAGTGATAGCTTTTTTTCTTCTTTGCCTATTCTAATGCCTTCAATTTCTTTTTCTTCTCTTATTGCTAAAGCTAAGGTTTCCAGTACAATATTGAATAACAGTGGTGATAATGGACATCCTTGTTTCACCCCGATCTTATTGGAAATGCTTCTAGCCTGTCCCCATTACATATAATGCTTGCTGAAGGTTTTAGATATATGCTATTTATTATTTTAAGGAAGACTCCATTTATACCTATGCTTTCTAGTGTTTTTAATAGGAATGGGTGTTGTATTTTATCAAAAGCTTTTTCTGCATCTATTGAGATGATCATGTGGTTTCTGTTGGTTTTGTTGTTGATATGCTCAATGATGCTGATAGTTTTCCTAATATTGAACCAACCCTGCATTCCTGGTATAAATCCTACCTGGTCATAGTGTATTATTCTTGTGATAAGTTGCTGTAATCTACTTGCTAATATTTTATTTAAAATTTTGCATCAATATTCATTAGAGAAATTGGTCTATAATTTTCTTTCTCTATTTTGACTCTTCCTGGTTTAGGTATCAACACCATATTTGTATCATAAAAGAATTTGGTAAGACTCCTTCTTCACCTATTTTCCCAAATAGTCTATATAGTATTGGAATTAATTGTTCTTTAAATGTTGATAGAATTCACATGTAAATCCATCTGGCCCTGGAGATTTTTTCCTAGGGAGTTCATCAATGGCTTGTTCAATTTCTTTTTCTGAGATGGGGTTATTTAAGTATTTTACTTCCTCTTTGGTTAATCTGGGCAATTTATATTTTTGTAAATATGTATCCATTTCACTAAGATTGTCAAATTTGTTGGCATATAGTTGGGCAAAATAATTCCTAATTATTGTTTTAATTTCCTCTTCCTTGGTGGTAGCTTCCCTTTTCATTCTTGATACTAGTAATTTGGTTTTCTTCTTTCTTTTTTTAATTAAATTAACCAAAGGCTTATCTATTTTATTGTTTTTTCATAAAACCAGCTCTTAGTTTTATTTATTAGTTCAATAGTTTTTTAATTTCAATTTTTTAATTTTTCCTTTGGTTTTCAATATTTCTAATTTGGTGTTTAGTTGAGGATTTTTAATTTGTTTTTTTTCTAGTTTTTTTAGTTGTATGCCCAATTCATTAATCTCCTCTTTTTCTATTTTATTTATGTAAGCATTTAGAGATATAAAACTTCCCTAAGAACTGCTTTGCTGCATCCCATAGGTTTTGGTATGTTTGTCTCATTATTGTCATTCTCTTGAATGAAATTATTGATTGTTTCTATGATTTGTTGTTTGACCCAATCATTTTTTAGGATTAGATTATTTAGTTTCCAATTATTTTTTAGTCTATCTTTCCATGGCCCTTTATTACATATAATTTTTATTGCATCATGATCTGAAAAGGATGCATTTAATATTTCTGCCTTTCTGCATTGGATTGTGAGGTTTTTATGCCCTAGTACATGGTCAATTTTTGTGTATGTGCCATGTACTGAGAAAAAAGTATATTCCTTTCTATCCCCATTCAGTTTTCTCCAGAGGTCTATCATACCTAACTTTTCTAATGTTCTATTCACCTCCTTAACTTCTTTCTTGTTTATTTTGTGGTTAGACTTATCTAGTGCGAGAGGGGAGGTTCAGGTCCCCCACTAGTATAGTTTTGCTGTCTATTTCTTCCTGTAACTCCCTGAACTTCTCCTGTAAGAATTTGGGTGCTATACCATTTGGTGCATATATATTTAGTAATGATATTACTTCATTGTCTATGGTGCCTTTTAGCAGGATGTTGTTTCCTTCCTTATCTCTTTTGATTAGATCTATTTTTGCTTTTGCTTTGTCTGAGATCAGGATTGCTACCCCTGCTTTTTTTACTTCAGCTGACGCATAATATATTCTGCTCCAGCCTTTTACCTTTACCCTGTATGTGTCATTCTTTTTCAAATGTGTTTCCTGTAAACAACATATTGTAGGATTATGGTTTTTAATCCATTCTGCAATCCGTTTCCGTTTTATGGGAGAGTTCATCCCATTCACATTCACAGTTATGATTACTATCTGTGTCTTTTTCTCCATCCTTTTTCCCCCCTATTTATGCTTTTCTTTCTCCTTTTTCCTTTCTCCCCTTCACTAGTGTTTTGCTTTTGACCACTGCCTCCTTCAGTCCCTTCAGGAGGGAAGATATGGAGAGTGGAAACAGGGTCCAGTCAAAGGACCTGGGCTAGAATCCCTTCTCTAATACTACTATCTTTGTGTGATCTAAAGCAAGTCTACTTCCCTGGGCCTCAGTTTCTTCATTTGTAAAATGAGGGGATTGGATTCTGATGGCTTCTGAGGTCTCTTCCAATTCTAGGTCTGGGATCCTATTATCATGTCCAGTGTTTGACTCTTCATGAACCCATTTTTGTTCTTGTTTGGTTGGTTTGGGTTTGTTTTTTTTTTTTGGCAGAGATACAGAAGTGATTTGCCATTTCCTTCTCCAGGCTCATTTTACAGATGAGGTA